TAACCCTAAACCTAACCCTAACCCTTAACCTAACCTTAAAGCTAACCCTAAAGCTAACCCTAAAGCTAACCCTTACCTTAAGTTGAATCGGGTTGCTTTCAAAGCGCTATTTAAAGCGCCCTTCTTTCTCCGCGCTGGCTGTTGTTGCCCTGTTGATGACATCAGCGACGCGGTTTAGTCGGGCGCAGTTTAGTCGGGCGCAGTTTTGACGGGTCACGGGGTATGTCGGTATGTGTATAAAAAACACAAAGCAAGGGAGCCAGTAGCTTTGTGAAATGTTATGCCTACATACAAAGTTTGGTGAGGGAGAGGGAAGAGATACTTCCCTCTCCTGGCTGTGTTTGCTTGAAAATATTTGAGAATAAGACCAGAGAGGAGGAAGGAACCCTGAGAGGAGACACTGTCGACGCTGTCACCTGCAGAGACACAGACAAAGAGTGGAGTTCATTGAAGACGCTCCCTCTCCGGCCAGTCCACAAGACTATCTGAAGGTGGTGGTGGTGGTGGGGAGATTTCTTGCACATCAACAGTGGTGTCTTTTGACAGGGCTTCTTCCGACATCCCAGTTTTATGATTTCCATGCCTTCCTTCACGAGATGTTGCTTTGCACCTGGGACATCGGGAGAAGCCCTGTGAGGAGACGACGACGCCAATGTGCAGGAAATCTCTCCCCCCACCTGCAGATAATCCTTTCAAAGAGTAGTTTCATCAGGATGAAGAAGTGGCTGGAGGCAGAGTTTGCGTCAGGTTGGGCTTTCTTTGCGAGGCAGATGATCTGGGGAGCGAGAGATTTAGGAAGCCTGGGCTGGCGTGGGGCAGTTTCTGCAGTGAAGTGTCTTATTCATCCCCAGGGGTGAGCTGTTCGCCATTCGCTGCCTCTCTGCCCCGGCTTGGAAGCTGCAGAAGCCAGGTCTTGCTCCATGCCTCTCACTTCTTTTCAATGCTGCTAAACTAGTAAAAGTAGTCCAAGCTATTCTTGATGATTTATCTGATTATTGCCTGATATAGGATTTTGAAGTCTTACTGTGGCTATATTGCCAAAATCACCTGTTACAGAGATGAAACCATACAATTCAATATTTACTTTTTCAATAGGATTATAATTATTTTATCAAGTGGGTAATACACAAATATCAGGCACACAAGGTAAGGTGCTGGGATAAAGAATATGTTATCTGCAGTTATATTAAGACACAGAAATTTATTCAAATCTGCTCACTAAATAGAGAGGAATGTATTAAGCCATAATGTTTCTGGAAGATCTGCTTAGCATTGTTTGTCAGATATCATTGGTAATCTGTATTTCCTTCATTTGGGATCATCATTGGTACCCTTCCTATCTTTTGCCAAGGCTTCTTTCATCTTATTACTGCATAAATCTATCAAAGAGAATAATTATTTCATAGTTTTTTACTGGTGCCCCAAGAATGGCCTTGTTCATTCAAAGAATTTTTATTTTAAAAAAGCAGGGTCTTTATGATGGCTTGTTTGCTCAACTACCAGTGACTATATGGATATATCCATGTAGTTTTCTTGGCAATTATATAGAAGAGGTTTACCTGGACCTTCTTTCAGAAATCTTTTCTATTTCCCATTTAGCCATGGATTTTCCTAATGGTCTCCCATTGAAGCAGTAAAAGTCTGATCCTGCTTATCTAAATGCTGTACTTGTTACCTGACAGGAGAAAACAAACAATATCAATCTCCTTCTGTAATCTTTCCATTATTTTCATTGCTTTTTTATGCTGCTTCTGTTAAAATTACAGTATCATTTATACTAGCAGGCACAGACAGAGGATCCTAATGAAAGAGAATTATCTGTACCGCCAATAAAACTCCATGGACGAGGGAACTGTTCAACAAACAAACAAAATTCGGGATGATTTAGGATCCTCGAGAATCACTACATATCTAAATATCAAATAAAAACACTTTGCGATAAGCAGGTCGGAAAAATATGGGATTCAAAGTAAATTCATTTACTTTGCCAGCAGTACCATACCATAGTGAGGGGGACGTTAGGATTATATCCTTCGCGTAGCCTCCCTCTCCCATTCCCCACAAACAACACCTGCCTTGTTCTCTTCTTCCAATAATGTTCGCCTTCTTCCGCTTCCTCAGTGTTTGGGTTTTGTTGCTAGGCGAAGGCGCGCTGTGGTGGGAGCAGCTATGCTTCCGTTTCCTGGCTGAGGAATTCTGGGAATTAAAATTCACACATCTTTCTCAACACACGGTACTGTACAGATTGGCGATGACGTAATACCGTGGGCCGCCTTATTTGCCGCTCCATTGTAAAAGGCGAGAGTTCAAGAATTGTTTGCGCGGAGGTACGTTGTCCAAGAGGTTAGAGGTGGCTCCGCCCACCACGGTCATTAGATGTTCGCCTCTCGGCGTCTTTAGAATTAAAGTGTTCGGTAATCCGGCGCCCAATATGTGTACTGGATCAAAACGTTAAATTAGAAACATGGGTCCGGCGGAATGTTTCCGATGTTGCTGGGAACAGAATTGCAAGATTTTCTTTGCTTGAAAACGTGCTGGGCAACTGGAAATTCAACAGAATTTCAAGTTCATGCCAAAGAAAACAATCTGCAAAACTTCACTCCGTTATGGAGCTGTACTGTAAAAATACAAGAGAATCCGCACAAAAAGCTATGGCTTATCTAAAGGAGGGGCTTAATTTTTAGTGTTAAGCTGATGACTTATTCAGATGTAAGGATAATTTTGATTTCCACTTTTGTTTTCAACCCCCATTCACCGGTCTGTTTCAAAACAGGCCCACAAGACAGAAAGCTAAGGGTTAACAGCGTTCATTCAGGGTTTGGTTGACTATATCCATTCATGTAGCCCAGACATACAGACACACATATTTCAGTTCCTTGAAAAAAAAAAGCTCACAACACTGATTTACCAACAGGTTGCATTTATTTTAAGAATTGTAATCTGTAATAAGTTTTGATGTGCTGGCAACTTCTTAGGGAATGGTGTTTTCAGTCATTTGGAAATTAGATCATGATTTAAACAAAATGCTTTTTCTGAAACTACCCTTGACAAAACATGAGTGGTGTTGGAATCAACTAGATTTTAGAAAGGCGGGAAGTTTGTGATTAGTTTATATGTAGCTGCTGAATTTTATTCGTTTATATTCTACCTTTGTTATTTTTACACATAACTCAAGATGGCAAACATCCAACACATTTTCCTCCTTTTATTTTGCTCTCAACAACTCTGTGAGGTGAATTGGGCTGAGAGAGAATGATTAAGCCAGCATCACTCAGCTGGCTTTCATGGCTAAGATGGGTCTTGAAGTCATTATTTTGTTTTCTCATCTGGTGCCTTAACTACTAGACCAAATTGTCTCACAATGTAAGGCAGCATTCTTCCCCACTTCCCTTTTAAATGGCCTCAATCACTTTTCCACCAGAGTTCCTTTTGGATGATGCTCCCTTGAGATTGCTATAGGTTATTTTTTTTCCAAGGATGGGGATGGATACATCCTTAAGTAAAAATTCAGTAGTAAAAAAAATCTGCAATGTTGCAGATAATCTAACAGTCATTAAATTGTGGACTGACTATTACTTTTCTCCTTCATTATAGTTTAACATCAAGCGCATATATGACTACTGCCTGCTTGGCCTAAGTAGACAGGTTTCTGTTCCAAGTAATTTATGAAATAATGTGGGATAAATAGAGGAGGGATGTGAAGGGTTTATATTTATTAAACCTTGCTATAGAATAGAATATGGGAACTATTTATAGCATGGCAGTAGACAACATTGTTTGGCTTCCCAAAGTAATTCTTAATATTTTGCTTTTGGAATAAAAAACCATGGAAATTACTCGTACCAGCTTTAAATCTAAGTATTTTTTTCTAGTGATTGATACATACAATAAACTTTCAGTTTAACATCTAATGAAGGGAAGGAGTGTCTGTTAGACCCAAACATCGGTTAAAGAAGAATGGGATTTTAGTCATATGTAAAATGGTGAATGGGATTTTTCACTAACCTAAGATGTCATTTATGTGTATTTCTAGTGAATCATTTCAAATGTTGCAATATTCAAATTCCAATGTTATAGATGTTTCTAATGGTAAAGTATAAAGTATATCAATGGAATTTTTCTTTTGTCTTTGCAAAAAATTAACAAGCACATTTTAAATTATGAAACATTGAGATTTTTTAAACACTTTTTGGGCCATTTACCCTGTTTTTATCAAACTAACTAGAGAAATCAAGAAATCCTGGGATTGCCACAAGCATATAAGAGCCCAGAAACTGTTAAGCATGCTTGAGGAAGCATCTGTATTTCTAGCCTGAAGGCCCAGTTCCTAATAGCTTCATGAAATTTTCCATAAAGATGGTTGCCAAAACATTTTTGCTGTGGTAATGGGGAGAAAGGACTCTGACACTGTTGGGCTCATTTTGATGTAATTAGACGTGTGATAGGACCTTATTTCAAAAGGGGACAAATTTATACTTTTATTTTTTTTTTTGAAGACCAGTAGGTTACTCCCCAAATTAATAAATTTCAGTTGGCTTTATCCTTATAGCAACAAATCCATCCATGTATGTGAATTTTAGTCACTAATTCAATTGCTTTTTCACGGGTCCAAATACTTTTAACTGCAGTATCAAATAATTAATGTTGCCCAATTAATTCCACATTCTTGTACTTTTTCTTTGAAAGATTCTTTTCTTTTCCTTTTAACAGGGGAACTCCAGCTAATAAGAATGGGCATTCATGGCCTAACAAGTTTTGTAGGGGAACATAGTGAATTCTTTGTTGATCTGCAGCTGAGAAACACAGATGTAATAATTGATGGGAATAATTTGTATCATCACCTTTATTTTGATTCAAATCTGGATATTCAGTATGGTGGAGATTATGATTCTTTTACAGATATTATACGTCAGTTTTTTCAGTCATTGGCTCTGTGCCACATACAGCCATATGTTGTGCTGGATGGAGGTAATGATGCATCTAATAAAAAACTTGCAACTTTAAAGCAACGAGCTGAGGAAAAGATCCAGGCAGCCCATTCACTTTCTCGTGGTGGTGGAGGAAGTGTATTGCCTTTGCTTGTCAGAGAGGTCTTCAAGCAGATTCTAACTGAACTACAAGTGCCCTTTGTACAATCATTTTCAGAGGCAGACAGGGATATTGTATCTCTAGCCAATCACTTGAGTTGCCCTGTGTTAACTTTAGATAGTGATTTTTGCATTTTTGACCTCCAATCAGGCTATTGTCCTCTAAATTATTTTCAGTGGAGAAATCTTTGTAAATGTAAAGACTCACAAGAATGCTACATCCCAACACAGTGTTTCTCATTACAAAGATTTTGTAGACATTTTAGCAATATGAACAAAACCCTGCTGCCTCTTTTTGCAGTAATGAGTGGCAATGACTACATAAATCTGCCAGCTATGGAAGTATTCTTTAGTAAACTAAACCTTCCTATAGAGAAATCCCGGCGGAAAAGTAGAAAGCATGGCCACATTCAGGGACTGCTGAACTGGTTATCTCATTTTGCTGATCTTTCTGAGGCAATGGAAAATGTATTGAAGTATTTTAAAAAGCATGAAAAAGACGACATACGACAGCTTCTCTCTTCTTTCATGAAAGAATATGAACCATCTAATATCAATCTCAAAGATTTTTTCCAGAGTGGTATGTATGAATCTGAGGAAATGAAGAAATTAAAATTACCACAGTGGGTTGCAACACACTTAATTAAAGGACATCTAGCACCATTTATTAGTGACGCTCTTATATTAAAAAGAACCATCCTTCCTGTTCAAGTGGAGAATATGCAGAGAAATAGTGCTCATTCCATAACTCTGCCAATTAGACAAGTTATCTATTGGTTATTGTTGAACATTTCACCAAGTTCCCTTAGTCCCTCTTTGAACAAACAGCCAACTTCATTTCCTCCTGTCTTCTATGAATTTGATAGATTCCAAAAATCACTCAAGAAATCATCTGTTTGTGTAGCAGAATTGGCACAGAAATTTCCAGACAATCAGTATGCTTTGGCTACATTAAATGAGGTAAATAATTAAAATTATATACTTAAACATTTCCAATACAGAACACATATGAAACATACTGCGCAGATTGATAACTATCACTTGAAATCATTTTTAAAGTTAGATTTGACCTCTATAACTGAAAATACATATTGAAAAGCATGATATTTAATGATGTTGATGCTTAATGCTGTAAGAGATAGCAAGCAGTTCTCTGGACTCTGATTCTTTTTTTAATCTATGGCTAGCAAAATAATATACATTTATGCTTTTCATATAAATTACACAACTTTTCAGAATTTATTCCACATTAAAGAAGCTAGGAAAAAATATTTTCCATGGTTGCAGAACATTTCTTAAGTATAAAATTTGGAATGTTCTTGCAAAAATTTATGTCATTGACTTATAAAAAGAGACGTATTGTAATTAATGGATATATTAAATAAATGATATAATCAATTTTCTAGTAACCTGTGAGAAAGGCTTTCCATTAAAGCTTTTTCTTGATGTCTCTAAATAGTTTTCTTACAAAACCTTGACTGCAAAGGAATTCCTGTCACAAAATTTATAAAGAGATATCAGTGATAGTATTTTGCAATAAAAAAGAAAAAAAATCTTGTGGGACATCAAAGACTAAAGCTTTATTAAAGTAGATCTCAGTACATTTAATCAGAAGTACAGAGTTAACTCATTGTGGTTCAGCAGATAGGGTATACAAAGACAATTGTTTTGGGGGAATTACAGAAATGAATATTTTCAATAAAAATATTTTAACAGTTTTTGTACTAGGTTGTTTTTGCCATTTTTTTTATACCAAAATTTTATGGGAGTCTAGCATTCCATAAATGCTAATGAATCTATTCTGTGTCTTTTATTGTCCTGAGAAATAGGTATATTTACATTTTACATTTTACATTTAAAAGAAGTAATGGGAAGAGTGAAACAGTGACTTTGAAAATAATTTGATTGATATCTACACTGCAAAATGTATACAGAAGTTCCATTTATCTTTTGCTGATAACTGAACAATGCAGCAGGAGTCCTTATGGGATATGTATGACATAAAAGATAACAATATTTGGTGTGGGAAAAGAGATTGGGGGTAATTTACTAAGGCAGAATGTTTATTATTAATAATTCTCTCAACTCCCCAAAACAGGCGAAGTAGAAGAACTAATCATATGCAAGTATTAATTTTTCTCTAAAGAGCCTCACTGTGAACTGTAGATCTACTGAATAAAATTATAAGTTTAAAATTAAAATTACTTAGGAAACAGTATTTTTCATGAAAGCTTTATCATTTATTTGTAGGCACCCATCGCAGAGCGTCTTCTATTTTTTTTCGAGACGTTTGGAGTATCAGCCTGTGTCCTTGAACCAGTTCCTTGTTTGCTGCAACTCCCTATGGCTGCAACCTGTTACTGGACCAAGTTTTCAGAACCCAAAGTGACACTACAGCACATCAAGGCTTTACTACTTGGAGTAACATTTGGTGAATTAGATAAGATGTTGCACATTCCAGGTAGGTTTAGAGAGGATCAGGTTTATTTGACACATGAATTTTTCCAGTTATTTTAGCCAAAGGCTATAGTTCATTTGTTTCACTTTTGTTGGTATCTGATATATTTTAAGTAAAATTGTGAAATGCATGTTGAAGTTTTGTATTATGTAAGCAACTTCATATTAAAATACTTCATAGGAAGTTGGGCAAAACATTCAGCGTTATAAATATCCAATCCAACTTTTCCTTAGTGGTTACTGTTATAGAAATCATAAATTACTCTTCTAAGTAATATTCTATTTACTGCTCCTGTTTTTGTTTTTAATCATGGTCAGTTTACACCCTGGAACATGAAGGAACTTTCTTTCTGATCCAGATCAGCCAATCCTATTTCAGGATATCCAATATTCTAGGCTAATCATGTGAAACATTGATATGTCTCACATGATTAACCCATACGGTATGGTGAGGAATTGCAGGCTAGAAGCCAGCTGACTAAAAAAAAAATGTTTTTACTTACTCTCCAAATAAAAATGTGGAAATCATTGTAGAAATTTAACATCTAATATTTAAAGCTGATGTAAGAATACTGAAGAATTTGATGTTTGTATCATGCATCTCATTAGAATTCTAAAGTATACCTCCACTTTGTAGGATGTGGACAACAGTATATTGTAGGGGTGTCAAACTTGCAGCCTGCAGGCTGGATGCATCACGTACTGGCCATGCCCATCCCTGGTTTAGTGAAGGGGAAATAGTCACATTATGTCACATGTCAATGATATGGCGACATGAGTTTGACATCACTGGTATATTGGCTTGTAGGTAGTCAGTAAATTTGTCTAATTTATCTAGAATATGCTTGTAAAAACAAAACTTGCATTGCAATTGTAGAATAATGGCTGAAGTACAAATAACCAGTATTATATCTTTAATATTAGGAAAGAAGTGTAAACATCATAGGAGTACTACTAAGGCTGGTAACCTGGTCCTCTGTCTTACCATGAAGCATTACGCGATAGCCTTCATTGACTAAATCTGTGATGGGTAGTGGAAATTAGTATATTCTGATCATCTAGTAATAGTAATAACCACAAGAGATGTTTATGAAGATTTAAGTTGTAGTTATTTCAAAAGTGATGTGTTTTTTTTTTAATTTTGAAAAAGCAACTGGACTGATTTTTGAGGAAAAACAAGACATTTTGTTTCCTATCCTGGAATACAACTGATGAAGCTTTCAGGATAGGAAGCAAAATGTCTTGGTTTTCCTCAAAAATCAGTCCAGTTGCTTTTTTTAAAAACAAACAAACAAAACACTTTTGATATAACCATAAAAGATATAAATTTGTGAATTTAAAAGGGAGATGATATATCCCATAAATGAAATCTGATCTGCAATTGAGTTGAGGACATGCATATTTAATTTTTGTATCATTGTTCTTAGTCCATGTGTACATTAATATCTGTGTGCATGTTGTCTACTTAACAGAAGTAGTAGTATATAAGAGAAAAAATCATGAATACTAAGGGGGAAAGAAAAATACAATTATTTAAAGTAAAGCAACTACAGCTTGGGTATAGTAAGTATAGTATAGCAAAAGGATTCTTTTCATAGCCTCCATGGGAAAAACTGTTTTGAGAAGGGATTTTAAACATGATAATTATAGGATGTTATAGAAGCTGTTCATAAATAAAAATAAGGATTGGCTAAGTATTTTTCAGTAAAACATATTAGCAGTAAAAAAAAAACTTTTTCAAGCTTCCTTTGTTTTTGTAACACTATTCCAATGTAAGGAGAGGTATCCAAATTTAAGATAGTAAATAAGGAAGGGCTATGATTTTGAGGTTCTAAAAATTTAGAAACGTTGGTATTCATTCTTACATAGTATGCATTCAATGAAAATAAAACCATTCAGTGTTCAGGAAATGTTTTTTTTTCTTTTATATCTAGATCCTGAAACACCACATGCTGAGGTCAATAAAATTGTACATGACCAGTACTTGAAATGGAAAGAAAAGAAATCCCCAAAAGATTATTTGGAATTAGATGTTGCACACATTTTCTGTCAATGGCAGTGCTGCCTGCAAGCAGGATTGTATCTCAACCAGCTGCTTTGTAGACCTTTCCCTGAGCCAGATCTTACACGGTAGGTATTCCCAAAACATCCCATTAGTAGGTGCTTATTCTAAAGGATGCTCCTCTAATTTCAATATAATATTAGAATGTGCATATAAAAATGTTATTCAGAAGTTGACTTTTTCCAAAAGTATAGTTGTAATTCATACTTTTTCCAAAAGTATAGTTGTAATTGCACATTTGTGGCATTGTACTGTTTCTGTATTTTTCAGATAGGTGGGGGGCATTGGATTAATAACTTCTAGCAGCAGCAATTCTTTCTATGATCACAAAACCAAAAATGCTATTATGTAAAGTTAAATATTTTCAGTAGCAAATTTGAAGACAACAGTATAAATAATTGAATTAAAAATACAGTATTCAACTACTATGGGGTCCTTGATGCTCTCTGAGCTTGGTTGTTTGTTTGCTTGCAGATGTTTCATTACTTGACTAAGTAACATCATCAGTTTCCCTGATGTAAGGTAATGAAATGTTTGCAAGCAAAAATGCAAATAAGCTCAGAGCGCACCAATGACTCTACAGTGCAACCCTGAGCTATAAATATTTGCTTCCATTTGCTAGAACTACTACTTGCCAACAATATCACTTTCTGATTTGTATATATTGCTAGTAGCATTTCAGCTTTTTTCAAAGATTGTTCATGTTTTGCTTTTGGGAAATCGATGATAATGAAATTATTTTTAAACAACCTATTTTCTTTCTAATATTATATAATGCTATTATAAGCAACTGTTCAAGATTCAACATACAAGCATGCTTCTATATCTTATTTACAGATTTGCATTAAAAATTTCAGAATGTCAAGAGTAAATGTGGAGCACAATGGTTTGCTTCAATTCAAATAGTTGGCCCATACCCCATTGTGGTGCCATGGTTTAGTTTTTCAATTACGGGCAGATGTTTAGGTGCTTATTTCTTACCTAGATGTAATGGAATTTTCCCATATAAATTTTAAAAAGTCTGGGAGACAAGTCTCATTGTAAAATGTATAATATCTTTAGCTCTTTTTTTGAAACCTGACCTAAAAACAGGCCACTCTACTCCCCCTCTCTCAATGGTTGATGCTGCTGAATAGGGATGTTCAATACTCACTGATTTGGGATAATTTCTAAAATTCTGTTTTCACTTTGTCATTATGGGATACTGAGTGTACATTAATGAGGAAAAAAATGAATTTCAGCCACTGTAGAATCAGGCTGCAGCATAACAAAATTGACAAAAGTGAAGGGGATACTGAATACTTTCTGAATGCACTAGCATTTTCTCAAACAAGGTTTCCCAAACAAAGTTTTAATTATAGTGTTTATATAAAATCCAATTAGGGCACAGCAACTTCAAAGATCTTGGAAAGCTAAAACCAGCAAACCTGGCTAATTCTGGAATAGAACATCAATAGGAAATTCCAGAACTGGAAGATTGATTTGAAAAGTGTGAAACATCTCAGAAAAAAGCAGTAGTAAGCTACTTCCATATTATTATATAAAATGAAACTTTACAGGGATAGTCCATAGTATCACCATGAGTTCAACTTAATGCAAGGGAGTTTATTTCCGAGACAGATCTGAAAAGGCGTTTCTTTCATTGATTTGGTATGGTTTTTAACACCTAGCTCCAAGTTCTCCTATAGAAAACCACTTGTCTTTTTCATTTTTGACAGGCTTTATAATGGGACCCTTGTCCATAGGTTATATCAACAGCTTAAATCCAGTTCCACACCAGAGAACCTCCTCAGTACATCGCCAAAGATCTACAAGCTTTACTGCAGCATGATACAGATAGTAAAAGATTCAACACCACCAGGTTTCTTTCAGAAGAAATCAAAATCCCAAAGGAAAAAGAATAAGAAAATTATTAATAAATTGCCAGATACACAAGAAAGCACTATGGTGGACACTCTACCTTTCTGTAGTACTAACAGGTTTGCAACACTGGCAATAGAGAACTGAAAGCTCATTATTCCAGACTGGTTGTTGATATTTATCTGTCTTTGGGTTTGAGAAGTTATTTCTCAAAAGAATTAAAGAAGTAATGCTATTAAAATGGATTTATTCGTTTGGTAATTAAGGAACATGAAAAATTGCTGTATTGTTTCTAATAATGGATAATTTTTCAGAAGATATTTAAAAAAATAATCTTACTTTGGAAATGTTTTTTGAAAGATATTTCAAAGATGCTTACCTATTGTGCTATCTTTTTATTGTTTTGTTGCATGTGTATACATTTAAGGACATTATTTACCTTATTTATGTTGTAATAATACCATAGATATTTTGATTTTTTTGCTTTACATATCTTGTAAATCTTATTGAATTGCAAGGCTGCAATGGCATATGATAATGAAGAAATAGAGAAAAAAACAGAACCATTGCAAAAGAGAAACCTTAGCCTAGTGTAGGGAAAATTGAGGAAGCGATTGAAAGCAACTCTGTCATAATCACATTAAGTATACATTGATCTGAAGAATTATTTTGACAGGCTCTCAAGACTCTGTTACATTACTCTACTAGCAGTAAAGCTCTTTTCAGAAATCCAAGTGATACTTGTTTTCCGAATTTTACAGATTAAAAATGAATAAATAAAATATAGAAGTCTGCTTTTTAAAGGCTTTTAAAAAAAGATAAGAAATCTGAGTATCAAAAGACTGATGTGCAGGAAAGATTTATGAGGTTTAAAATTCCTCTGCTGAATAAAAGGAAATGTACAGTAATAGTAGTTTCTCTCAGCCATTTGCAGTTAATCAGGAAACAAACTCCACAAGCACTAGTGGAACTCTATTTGCAAGATAAAATAACAAACTTGTGCTATGGACAGAATTTCTCTCCTTTTTATACAGAAAAAAATCAAAGTAAGGTATTCCTAAATTGCTTGTTCACCTTCTCTCTTTCGGGGCTAAGCTGCTGTTTATGTAACCCTCTTGCATTCCCCCTTCAAGTTTACATTCATAGTCCTTTACTATGTCTCTGTAAAGTCAGATAATAAATCTGTCTCCGTGATCAAAAGAAGTATATCTGAGTAAAACCTACTGAATAACATTGATGTGAGTCAGTGTTGGGTTGCCATTTTTTTTTACTACCGGTTTGGGTGCGCTCACGTGTGTGCATGCGCAGAAGCGGGCAGGTGGTGGAGCCTCCCGCTGCCGCTACTAAGGTTCACCTGATTCGGGCCGAATCAAGAGCAACCCATCTCTGATGTTAGTACACTATGGTGTTTATGTCCTACATTGGGGCCTCCCAAGATATTTGATTGGATGCTGTGAGAATAGAATGTGGAATGGATAAATTTTGGCCTAGAAAATCTTTAATTTGAAAGATAGGAGAGTAGGGGGACCACTGAAAAGCATGAGTTAGTAACTTTGATTAAGTAAAATATTTAGACTACCATGGAAGTGAAAACAATTTTGTGATCCAGTTCTACATAAAATACAACCACATATTTTAAGGAAAGCAAACATTTACTTGAAAATTGCAATATAGACTTTTCAGTCACAAAAAGAAAGAAAAGACAGTGATCTGACAGTTACATCCTGTGCAAAAAAGGATCGGGATACAAAAAGAAAAACCCATGGTACACAATGCAGAATAATGGAAATAAATACAGGAGCTGAAAAATGGCACTCTTGTAATTCAGTCTAGATAATTCAGTCTAGATCAGGGTTGTTAAACTTGCGGCCCACAGGCCAGATGCATCACGCACTGGCCACACCCACGCCTGATTTAGCAAAGGGGGAAAAAGTCCTGATACGTCACGAATCGCCACAAGTTTGACACCACCCCTAATCTAGATAAATGGAATACCTCAAATATTTCCATAATCAAATCCCATCACCTTTACCATAAAACATATTTCATCTAATTTTTATTTCTATAGACATACATCTGTTAAGAAAAAAAGGTGGGCCAAACTCTTGACATAGGTTTCCTTTTAAAGTAGTCTTTCTCATATTACAAAGTTCCATCAATCTGGAAAGTAAAATTACCTTTGAGGGGAAAAATTACCAAAATTGCATAATTTATTACTCCCTATCTGGAAGTTTAGAATTAAACAGTCTTTAATTTTACCAAAGTTTATTATCCTTCAGGGAGAAGGGTTTGTCAAAAGCCCTTTATATTGTTTCTCCCTTGTACATAAACAGCAGTTTCTAGTTAGGTAAAGAATGCAATGTGCATCATACATCGAGAAATGATCCCAAGTGTTGTGAACTACCATGCTTTTGGGTCTTCTCCCTGCTTTTTTCAACCTTCTTTATGATCTCTGATATTATACACACGGAAGAGGTAAGGCCCAGAAGAAACTGCAAATCTAAAAATAAATGAAAACATGGCTTTTCAATTCACCATTACAAGAAATAAGCTATAGATTGCCTACTTTTAAAATAACTTAAAGGACTGATATAACATTGGGGTTTTAACCTGGAAGGAATTACAATTTTTTCTTTAGGACTACTGAAAAGCTCAACATTATTTTTAATGTACATTTAATGATCATTTCAACAGTTTCCCCCCAAAATATCTATGGCCTGAGTCTAATAACAAGGTGGTCAGAGGAACAGATAAATGCTATTCTCAGAGCAAGCTAATTTTAATGAGTTATCACAAGCTCATATTGCTGAACAGCCCAAAGAACAGAAGGAACATCATAACCTCCTGGTTTCCCATACAAGAATCCTCAGTTTGCATGCTTTATTCATTCCTATCCCTCAGATCCTAGTTTAAAATAAATCATAATTTGCTATTTTTTAGCTGAGCAATCTTCCTACAAATTATAAAAGAAAAACTCTGACATGAAGATATAAGAATGAATAAAGCTGTTCCCTCACTTTTAATTCTCATAATGCTGAATGTATAAGAGGAAAGAAAAAAATAACTTCAGGGAACAAATTCGGTAGGAGAGAAATGGGAAAAATATAATTAAAAAGGATAAAAAACAAGATTCTAATACTAAATATGATGCTTTATATACAGTTTTATACATGTTTGGATGCCTTACTAATACAACACATTAAAACTAAAACATTTCATTCTGAAAACCAAACTTAGCTATGTTCCCTTACCTGTTATGCTTAGACTTTCTGTCTGAAAAACTTTCTGAAGTGGAGGGAAATAGATTACCAGCAGCTGACCCATTATAGACCCAAGAACTGCATAACAGAACATCTTGTTGCTGCAAAGTCCAATTTCAAATACAGATTTAGTCTGGAAGTTAAAAAAAAGAAATTGCAATTATTTATTCCATAGTAAATTAAAAGCAAAATTCTTAGCAAACTAAATATAACAAAACATTTTTCTATTAACTGCATGGAAATGTGAGTTAACTATGGTCTTAAACATAGTACTGATTATTTATGTATCTTATATTTTTCCAAAAATATTACATAAAATTTTCAAATCAGATGAACACATACCTGAGATCTCGAACTCAATGCATTAAACATATCAAAAAATACAAAGCAAGTGAAAGTCATTGTTGTATCTCTGGGTGTTATAACATTGTCCCGTAGCTGCCAAAAAAAAAAGTCTTAATTTATAAATGTATAAAGTTCACTAATAGTTTATGAAAACATTTTGAATGTAAATTTTCCTCAAGATTTGAAATGTTAGTATCATAAAGAATATCTAATTTTGGGGACTTCCCACTTGGCTGATTTGGGAGCATAATACTACTAATAACTAACAATAATATGGTGATGATGATATCCATTTACTTTAAGTGCTTTGTGCAGCTGTTACAAGAATACTCTGATTTTCAGCTTTCCATGCTAAATTGTGCACCTGCTCAGTCCAGAAAGTGCTACTCCATCCAAAGTCAAAGATAAAGAATCATCTGATTATGTGTAAGTGTGTATGTCAAAATAGCCACTCTGTCTTGTCAGGATCCTTCCCATTCAGACCCTTAGAGCTTCTAGCACTGCCAGCATCATCACTGCATCTGTCAGTATAGCTAACAATTCAGAATTGGCCTTATAAGTCAACAAAGTATTCAGAGTTCAAAGTATTCAGACTAATTCCTCATTTTTTATTTCCATTTTCCCCCATTTTATTTTATCTATTCTCAGATTGAAATCAAAACATCTACATATTGCAGAGTTTTGTTTAGTGTTGTTATACTACATAATAGCTATTTCAATATCATGCAATTATTTTTTAAAAAAATAGGCTATGAATCTATAAAATCTCAAAAAATTACATGCTGGTCTTTCTTAGGCCATATCCTTTTTAAAAAAATTCTGTCTTTAACTACCAAATGTACTAGCTGGCATTTGAATCTGATCATTGTTATTTGAAGAGCTGCTAGAGATTCCTTTTTTAGAAGTTAATTATATATATATTTGTATAACACGATCCCTTATTATTTCAATATTAATTTTGAAAACCTCTCTTATCTTAGAAAACCAATATGCCATGGACATTTAAGGCTGTTATTTAAAAATCCAGAATCTATAGCTTTCTTGCTTGCACAGAACATATTACCATATTTTTTGGAGTATAAGACGCACAAGAGTATAAGATATGCCTTAGTTTTTCAGGAGAAAAATATGGGAAACAAAATTCTGCTTACCAGGCATTCATTATTATTACAACCCCAGAAAAGCAAGCAAACACAATATAATAAAATGATACTTTTTGCCATTTTTTTTCTTTCCCCAAGCGGAAAATTCTTAATAAACTTAACTAGATGTCTGGGCATTCAGCCAACAGCACTTCATACCTTGTAAAAATGTAACAAAGTTGAATCAACAAACCAGCCCAGTGTTTCCCTGAAGGAAACCATTGAGAATATTCAGATAGCTGATAGGAAAAATTCCTGCCTTGCCCTTAAAAGGATTATTCCGAAAAGAATATAAATCATGTAGTCACAGGAACACGCTGTCTTTCCCTTGAGAGGATTATCTCCCAAAAATAGAAACTGGACAAAAAGAAGTACCTCTTAAAGCAGTCTTCAAATATTTCGTAGTTGGCTTCTCTCAGCTGGAATGAACCTGGATTTTTTTCATATTCAAAGTGAGTAAAGCAGGCAAAGCACTGAAGCTTCACTCGTTAGCGCCTCATTAGGGGTGAAAAAAGCTTCCAAAAAGCTACATTCGGAGTATAAGATGCACACAAATTTTCACCCTTTTTGTGGGGGGGGAGTGCATCTTATACTCCGAAAAAATACAGTATATGGTTCTTTAGATCTCTCTCATAGCCTATATATTTTTATATTTGTATTTCCTGTCATATAAACAATATTGCAAGTAAATGTTAGTATTACAAATAGATGGTTCCTACCTCTCTCCAGAAGACAAATAGTGTTCCACATACAATAATTATAGATGAAACTAGAATTTTAATGATCAGATTTTTGGTCAAAATGCTGTCCTTAACATTTCGTGGAGGTTTTCGGATAACATCTTTATCTACAGGCTCAACACCAAGACTAAAAATTAAGAAAGCAAAATTTTTATAAATGCTTACCTTTATTAATATCATATAAATCAATTAATACGGAATTTGGTATAAACTTAAGTGTATGTGTATATTTGTCTATCAACTAATTAAAATAGGCTGAATCCAGACTAGATTAGTCACTGAAATTAATGAAATGTGAATGAACTATTCTGGTTTTAATCCAATTAACTTTTATCTGATACTACCTGCAAAATTTATTACTTATGTAATCTCACCATGTCAGTATTTCTTAAAAGCCATTTACCATTAGTAATTTAGTAATTTCCTTCAAATGTCCTGTAGTCTACTGGTGATATTAAAAAGCAGTCTTTTGAAAATGATACAGAAATAAATATTTAATGCACCAATTTTCAAATGCAGTCCTGACAGCTAAACCAAAAATTTGATATAACTGCCTTTTGAATGGAGGGAATTGTAAAAAGTTCAACTACAGACTGCAAATTATATAATAATTTTTTAAAAAATGCATTAGCTTCAATTATGCAACCCTGATACATTAAAAAATACCTTTGAGCTGGAGGCCCATCCATGATAATGTTGATCCATAAGATCTGCATAGCATTGAGAGGATTAGGAAAGTTCATTAATGTGGCCAATGAGATTAATGTCAATGCAGCTATGCTCCTGTTGAAAAAAGTTATTTTAAACAGCTGTCAGCATAGCCAAAAAAAGGGAGGATGAGGGAGAATGTAGAACAGAAAAATATAATATAAATGAATAGCAAATAAATATACATAAACAATAAAAATCCAATTGCTTTAAAGCAGATCACATGTTATTTGGGGCAACATAAATTATAGCTTTCACATTCAGCAATTCAAAATTTAGTTTCCCCGCACTGAAATAAAGCCTATGATGGTTTTGTCTGCTTGATAAGAATATGCATTTTGTAACAATTGAAATAAACTGGACTTTTTCGTGTTTATAAGAAATCAAGGTTCCAGTAACAAAATATTCATGGTTTAGTTTACATAGTTTACATGTTAATATACTAACATGTACTAATTTCTATATGTATCAAATTTGAAGGCAATTCCAAACTTGGATATGCTTAAGAGAATCTCTCCCAAAACATTTTGATACATTATAACATACATGTTTTCCAACCTTGACAACCTCTACTGTAAATGCTTAGACTTTGACCTGCTTCCTGTGAAATTGTGTAAATTAAGTCCATATATCTAGAAGTTGCGAAACAATGTTATATAATTTCAAAAGGATGTTTGGAAGCTGTAACATTTTACTTGATTCTTTTCTAGTCTAGGCAAATTATGGCCAACTTTTTAAAAGAGTTATTTTAAAAGTTGTGTTATGTTTGTATGTTGGAATCTATGCAATACTGTCAAAATGCAAAAAGTTTGCTTTATTTTTAGTCTTAATAATTACTACATTGATAACATGTTTATCTTGCCCTTTAGTCAAAAAAAATCTATGTATGCTCCTTTAGAAAAATCAGTGTAATTAAATATGTACCCTCAGGATCATAATAAATAAAACTCCAAAATGCAGAGAGAAGACAGTAATAAGAAAAGAAGAAAGGAAAAAAACATGATGGTCATGTCAATTGTCTTGAAGCATGAATCCATATTTATTTTATTTTCTGAGTCTATTCAGGTTTGCATTGCATCACAGCCTTTCCTTGAGTTCATTCACTTCTTTCCTTTATGTAATTGGGACGACTTCTCCCCCAGATGATTCCTCAGAAACTTTTTTGATACCGTGTTTCCCTGAAAATAAGACAGAGTCTTATTTTCTTTTGACTACTGAAATATGGTCTTGGCCTTATTATCAAGGGGTCTTATTATTTTGGGGGGTGCAGGAGGTCACTTCCCCCACTCACGGGCCTGTCCTCCCCCGCTTGCGCACCTCCCAGTTCTCACGTTGATGTGCACCCACCACCAGCACCTGCATGGACCCCATGGCCTGGACCAGCTCTCTTCAGGGTCAGGGCCACCACTGCTGCCACCATCTGAGGAAGGCTTCTTCTGAGGCTTCCAAACCCTGGAAGTTTGCTGCTGAATCTTCCGGGAGCTGGGGCAGAGTGTCTTCCGGCAGTGGCTGTTCTGAGAGTGCCCTTCCTGCTCTATGGTTCTGCCCCAGCTGCTGGAAGATCCTGGCTCCCGGAAGACTTGGCAACAGACTTCTGGAGTTTGGAAGCACAGAAGAAGCCATCTTCAGTGCTGGGATGGTGGCAGCGGCGGCAGCCCTGCAGAGAGAACTGGGCCAGGTTGTGGAGAGGACTGGGAGGAACACAAGCAGGGGGAACATGTACTCGTGCATCCCCCCCCTCCAGTCAGGCAGAGCACCACTCACTGACCCAGCAACATCCTGAAGGCACCAAGCCACGCGAACGCTGGTTCCCCCCCCCCCCCACTGCTCATGTGGCTTGATGCCTTCAGGTTGGTGAATGCTGTTCTGCCAGGCTGAAGGGGGTGCTTGTCCACTGGACTTATTTTCAGGGGAGAGTGCATATTTTTGCCCACCCCAAAAATCCGGCATGGCTTTATTTTCAGGATATATCATATTTTCAGGGAAACATGGTAGCATTTAAGGAAGGGTCAATACAAACAGATGACTCACAGCAGTTTACTAAATTATTTTCCAACATACACCCATCTCTGCTTTCTTTAATGCTTATCAAGCATGAATAGTACTGTGCTTTTTCTAATATGAACACATGTCTATATCAGAATTGAAACAATAAAGCTAATGCAGCAGAGGGAATGAGAGGTATCATAGATATAAGTCAAGTTACATAGTAAGTTTCAAGACAGATATAATGGTAGGGTTTTTTTCCATTCTCTAAATTCTGAGGTTACATTTAGTACCTATAATTAATAAATCATCTAGCTTTCTAGAGGCTATCCATGCCCTTTTTAAAATGTTTTTTGCTCGTTTTGCTCCCCACAGGCTATTCATGCCTTTTTTTGAAAGAAAAAAAAAACAGGCCGTTTTTGCGATGTTTGCAGAGTGCAAAAAAAAATTTTTTTTTTAATTTGCCTCTTCAAAACCTTGGTGCGTCTTACACTCCAAAAAATACGGTACGGTACCTCAAGCAAAATATCTAGTTTTACTGTTTTCTGTCATTTTAAGAACAATGCATAAGCAATAGGACGTGAAAAGAGCTTCATGAAAACATCTGAGTTTATTAAGTTTCATATCACGCAGTTATCATGTAATAGGACCAACCATTCTTACACAGAAGTGAAAGTACTTTCACAGGGCCTTATAAGCCCTGTTCCTATTGAGTTCATTTGCTACAATGTGGGGAAAATGCATACCTTATCAAATAAACAAAACTATCCAAATCTATGATTAAAAGCTGAAAAATCTACTGCATATCTGTTTTATCAATCCAACATTTATTTATAGAAATACATAATTTATATCTGATTATTCATGCAGTTTAAATATAGGCTGCAAAGATTGAAGTTTTACATTTTGTTCAAAATCTTATGTGAATAACTTATATATAGATTTGAACTATCAGCTGCAGATATGACAGTGAATCTATTACTTAGAATCATTATTAAGAAATATTGCAGTTAGGGCTGAAGAGCAAAAAGCATGCACGAGAAGCAATACCAAATTCAGTTTATTTTAAAACCAGTTATGCAAACATCTATGTAAATGATCCTGCAAACAAAATTTATAAGAAATATCTGACACTGTGCTTTCAAACTTACGTGCTAAGTTGAAATCTAACAAAATTTTTAATATTATTATAAATTCCTTTACCCTCTTCAATAGCAAACCTGAAATACAAAAAGAAAGATAGAATGCTTAAAGAAAATGAAAAGGGAAAAAGTAAAGAATTGGACATCATCCTGAAAACTCAATGCTTATGACCATTTAATTTAATTTACATTCAGTGTTATCTAAATTACTTTAAAAATTAATTTAATCTCTTTCAGCTTCTGTATATAAAATTAATCAAAATTAGAAGGAATGTGGTAGCACCGTAAACAACTAACAACTTTTATTAAAAGGCCTAACACTTTGCCTGATTTTCATGAGATTCATGACTTTTTCATCAGCTGGACCCAAAGAAAATGATTTTTCATTCAAATACATCAAGACTTTAACAATTTCAGCCCCATCATCAACCTTAACTTTTACTTGTATAATAAAATTTTACAACATAAATATAATATAGGAATGCTACAGATTGGCATGCATATATACATGCTCCTAGCTTACATCAAGAACACCCACAACCATATTTGTTTAGAACCAAACTCTATGCTACTATACTAGAATTGCTCAACTAAGGAATTAATCCAGTATTATTATTTTTTAATTAACCCATTCAGTGGGTTACTGTATCTACCCAATGAAATCAATAGTAAAATCAATTAAGTCAAACTGATTCCAAAGAAAGGCAGATCACAAAAATCAAACATCACCACAGCTTGTCATCTATAGTTCACAATTTAGGTCTCTCAATTAAGAAGTTATAACCAAAACTAGATAATGACAATGCACTTTCTGAAATACTAGGTTCATACTTGTAAACAGATAACCAACCAACCTGAAGCAAATTTTCACAAGAAACAAGCAACAGAATAATGATGCTACAATGGAAATTTTGAATTTGAAGCCCTTAGTTTGCACCTGGTAATAACTCAAAGCATAGCCATGAGTCTGCTGGCATTACATAGTATATTCCTCCATTTTTGTTTCTTGTAGGCCCTTTGTAAAGCGACCTCAGCAACAAACTCTCACATTTGCGTCCACATTTATACCAATAACTACATGATAGCCCCCCAACTTTATTCACTACATTAAAACTATTTTCAAATCCTTTTCATATTTTGTGAGATATTCCATTTTCTACCAGCAATGCTGCTTTGATTCTATATAGGACAAATAGGCTACACCTTGCACAAAATAAATTAATTGATACAAGTTTGCAAATAGGGCACCACAATGGGAAAGTTCGGAGGCAGCAGCCTGCCTGTGCAAGCTGCTTGCCTGCACAGAGTACCAACTTGTCTCTCCACCAAAATGGTGCCCATTTATCTACTGACATAGGACATGCTTTCAAACTGCTAATGGGAAGGATCTGAGGCAAATGGTGGGAATTCATCCCGGCATACAGTGTTAGTGCTTGAACTTGAACTGCTGGAGCAGACCATCTCCAGCATGATTAAGCCACTGAGCCACTGCATCTCTTTGAATAAGATTATTCTATGGAATGCCAATTACTTTCTACACAAATGACACCATACAAATAATAAAATTATATTACATCCAGAATGATCCTATAATTCAAACGTACATTATTGTTTGAAAGTCATCATCCACCAGGATCATATCAGCAGCTTCTTTACAAACATCAGTGCCGGTCTGCCCCATTGCAACTCCAATATCTGCAGCTTTTAGTGCTACCGCATCATTCACTCCATCTCCTGTCATAGCAACTACTTCACCATTATTTTGAAGTGACTAAGAGAAAAAAAAAATGTCAAAATATTTTTCTAGTCTAAGATTTTATAATGAACATATGCATTTAAACATTGCCTACCTCCTTTTATGAAGGTGAAGATTTCATGAACTCTAATATGCACATCTATATACTAGTAAAACCCATGTGTCCTTTTGTTTGTAAACTCAACTCAACTCAGCCAAGTCAACTGGGTTAATTTGGAAAGTATTATTAAACCAGAGTACCTTATATAGACTTAACTCATAGAATGCTGGGACCAATGATTCCTGTGAGAATGAAATTTGGGGAAATTATGACCACTTCTATGCCACTGGATTGCTAACTCTTCATTACTGTTGCCATGTTAGTCAGCAGCATGCTTCTTATTTCCAGTGCTCATTGACAACTTCCCAAAAGTTAACGGAGAAGCCAGAAAGAACTGTAAAGTTGATTGCTATTGCAAACCCTCCATGGCACTTTCCCACTAGCAAAGCCTTTGCATTGGGAAGCTGGCAGAGAAAGTCAGCAATGAGGAAAACAGCAGGTAAGGTCATCTAGCAGCAACTACTTACCTGCAAGAAAAGAAAGGAAAGGAGAGAAGAAAGAACAGGAGGGGAGGAGAAAGAGAAATGGAAGGGAAGGAGAAGGGAAAAGAAAGATTTTTGATGCTTCCTGAAACCCCCCCACTGGGAAACTCAATGGGGGAGATTAAAGATGCTTCTGATTATTTTGCCTGACTATGATCATTCTGTTTCTCGTTTAGGTAAAGAAATATATCTGAAACAATAACCCAACAAATCATGGGTTATCTCGTATGAGATAAATGTATGTTATTGAAAGTTATTTAATCTTGTTTTTTGAAATTAATTGTATAAATACTGACTGGCTGAAATCAATGTTTCAAAGAAAACATTTTAATTTTAATTATCCCAGACTATTTTTAATGTTGTCCTGTAGCCTAAATTGCAGCATTCTCTTGAAGAGCTCTAAAGAATTTCAGCTGGTTGTTTTTGAATTAAAGAATGCTTGTTTTGAAAGTAGATACATACCTTAACAATTTTCAGTTTATGTCTGGGGCTGGCTCTGTAGAAGACTGCTACCTAAGAGGTGGAAGCATTAACATTTCAATTATTGTAAAAGTTAGGCTTTACAATGTTAATCTACATTCATATGGCCTACCTTTCTCATTCTCATCACATCTCCTACTATGATTCTAATGGGGGAAAAAAATTAAATGTTCCAAAACTATGACGACACTATTTCCATTTTAAGTAAATACAATGCTCTCAGTAGGAAATAAAAATAACTCCATATAAGAAGACGACATTTTTAAGAGTTAAGCGATCCTGTATACATTATCTAAACAGTTTCTGGGAAAAGAGCAGTCTTGAGACATAAATTGTGTTTATAAATATTTACAAAAATTATATAATAATAGCATTTACATCCATACCATGTTTCCCTGAAAATAAGACATGCCCTGCTAATAAGCCCAATTGGGCTTTTCAGAGCATGCGCCATAATAAGCCCGCCCCCCAAAATAAGCCCACCCCAACTATTTAAGTGCATGTGCAACTGGTCACCACCATTACCACTGTACCACCTATCGGTACAACTTTCAGGGCAAAAAGAGGGCCTGCCGCAAAAAGAGCTGCAGGCCAAGCAAAGTGCTTCACACCCCATTTCCTCCTGTGCAAAGAGCCCACCGCAAAAAGAGAGGCAGGCCAGCAATCCCTCTCACGCAAAAAAATACCGGCCATCCCAATGGTAAAGGAGCCTGCCTGGTTCCCTTCCCCATCACCCCTTTAGCGAGGGGTGACAGGTGGGGAGGAGAGAAGCGAGGAACCAGACTGACAGCTCCGCTGCGTTCCTCACCCTTCCTTCCATTGAAGCCCCTTGTAAAAAAAACCTCGTGAGTTGAACTCATGAGGTTTTTTACAAGGGGATTCACTGGACAAAAGGGCGAGGAACATGACTGACCTGGAAAGGTAAGAGGCACACCTCGTGGCCCAACACCACCCACCTCGCCCCAATGGTAAAGGCAGCCTGCCTGATTCACTTCCCCACTGCCCCTCTAGCGAGGGGTGGCAGGTGGGGGGGAGACGCGAGGCGTGCCTTTTGCCTGTTCAGCCCCGCTGCATTCCTTGCCCATTCATCCAGTGAGACCTCTTGTTAAAAAAACCTCACAAGTTGAACTCATAAGGTTTTTTTTTACAAGGACGAAAGGGCAAGGAATGCAGTGGAACTGTCAGTCTCCCGTAGCACTAGGACCCGCGTCTTGCTTCTCTCCCCACTGCTACCCCTCACTAAAGGGACGTCGGGGAAGGGAAGCAACCAGGCTCACCATTATCATTGGGGCTTGGTAGGAGGTGTTCTTTTTGCACGAGAGGGAATGGGGTGCGAGGTGGCTGGCCTGCCACCTCCCACCCCACTCCCAATGTAACAGCTGCCTGGCTTCTTCCCTTCCTCGACATCCCTTTAGCGAGGGATAAGGGAAATGCAAAGGATTTATTAGATTTTCCAGCTCGAACCTGAGGCAACTGGAAACTTGACACAAAACACTTTCTCCCTCCGTGCCTCTCTCTTTATCCCTTCCCTTCCTTCAATTGGTTGGCAGCTAACTGTCTCTTGAGCCTAAAAGGCCGGGGTGAAGAGTATCTCTCCTAAAGGCCCGTGAGAAAGGACTGGGGACTAAATACTGAATTCGATTCCTATGTTTCCTGGAGTCCAAGATTTCCTTAATCTCAAAATGTTGCTCTCCCTCAATGAGAAGAGGGGCAGGGGGTACAGGTAGAGGCGCACGAAAAGAAGAAGTGTCCTCAGGTTTCAAGAGGCTCACATGAAACACAGGATAAATCTGGTTAGGATGCTTTGGTAATTCCAATCGTACAGAAGTGGAGTAATGATTTTCACAATAGGAAATGGACCAACGTACTTTGGCCCCAATTTCTTTGACTTCTGGGTGGTTTGGAGAAACTTGGTGGATAAAAATACTTGATCTCCTACTCTGTACTCCCTTTGCTTCACTCTCTTTTTGTTGGCCTGTTTCTTGTGCCCCCGGTGAGCAGCTTCTAATGCTTTGCGGGTCATGGGCCAAATTTGCTGGAACTGGTCACTCCACTTGGAGAGAGAAAAAAATTGCGTTTTTTCTTGGGGTAATTCTGGAATAGGTACAAAGTCCTGTCCAAACACAATCCTAAAAGGGGTGAAACCAGTACTGCTGTGCACAGAGTTGTTGTATGCCACCTCAGCATGTGGTAACAACTCAGCCCAATTATCCTGCTGATAATTGATGAAACACCAGAGATACTGTTCCAAAACAGAATTATTCCATTCACAAGCACCGTTAGTCTGAGGATGGTGGGCGGAGCTTAGCCCCTCGGCGGAGCCAATTAACTTTAGAAATTCCTTCCAGAAGAGGGAGGTGAATTGGACCCCCTATCCGAAATTATGCATTCCGGTACTCCGTGCAAACGGTATACATGCGAAATAAACAACTTAGCTAACGATTTAGCTGATGGGATCTTGGAACAGGGCACAAAATGAACTTGTTTAGAAAACAGGTCTGTAATGACCCAAATCACGGTATTCCCTAGACTCTCTGGTAATCTGACAATGAAATCCATTGGTATCTCCTTCTACGGGGCCTCAGGATGGGCCACACCTTGGAGAAGGCCTTGGGGTTTTCCTGGTGGGCACTTCGCGGCAGCACATATGAGACAACTGGCCATGTAGCACTCAATGTCTTTTTTCAATGAAGGCCATAAAAATTGCCTTTTAACTAGATGTAGAGTTTTTAGAAAACCAAAATGGCCTGCCATTCGGGAATCATGGGTCCACTGAAGAACAAAAGTTTTCAGGCTTGCAGGGACATACAATTTAGCCCCTACCCAAGCCAGTCCATCCTTCATAGTACATTCATTCGAGTGTTCCTTGAACCAGTCATCGGACTCAAGGCCTTCCTTGAGTTTGCAGATAAGGTCTGTTGTGACCTCCAAATTCGAATTGCTTTGGCTTCTGGTAACCACCGGGGCAGCAAGACTTTTCGTTGGGATGACTAGGTGAACCCTGCTCAGCTTCAAACTGTTGTATTGTGGAAGTCTGGATAAAGCATCAGCCATGAAGTTCTTCCCTCCTGGGATGTACTTGAGGGTGAAGTTGAACCGATTGAAATGTTGCGCCCACCGCATTTGTTTAGAAGATAGGTTTCAAGGGGGCTTCAACGCCTCCAAATTTTTATGATCAGTCCATACTTCAAAAGGGTATTTAGCCCCTTCAAGGAAATATCGCCAGGTTATCAAAGCCCACCTGACAGCAAAAGCTTCTTTTTCCCATATAGCCCACCGTCTCTCTGTCTCTGTTAGTTTGTGAGAGGTGTAAGCACAAGGCTGCAAGTTCCCATCAGCGTTAATTTGAAATAATACTGCTCCCACCGCCACATCACTGGCGTCAGCTTGAATGATAAATGGTGCATCCATATTTGGGTGTTTCAAAACGGGTTCAGCTGCAAAGAGTTTCTTCAGTTTTTTGAACGCAGCTTGACATTCCATAGTCCAATTCAATGGGTTACCCAGTCTGAGCTTGGCCCCCCCTTTCGACTTTAGGAGATTTGTAATGGGTAGAGCAATGCTGTCGAATGAAGGAATAAATTGACGATAAAAATTCGCAAACCCCCAAAAACTTTGTAATTGTTTGTGGGTGCGAGGGGGCGCCCACTCAGTGACAGCCTGGACTTTTGCTGGGTCCATCTCGATGCCGCTGTGGGAGATGCGATAGCCCAGGTAATCAATTTTTCATGATGAAATTCACATTTAGATAATTTGGCATATAGTTCTGCTGCCAGAGTTGATCGTACCAATGTCACATGTTCTTCACGTGTTTCCATGTAAATAAAGATGTCATCAAGGTAGACTATCATGCCTTTGTACAGGTGATGATGCAAAACCTTATTTATTAATTGCATGAAAACCGTTGGTACCCCCTTTAGGCCAAATGGGTGTACTCGGAATTGGAAACAAGCAAGTGGGCAGTTGGAAGCAGTTTTCCATTCATCTCCCTCTTTAATTCTGACTCTGTAATAGGCCTCTCTTAGGTCCAATTTTGTGAAGATCTTCCCTTTACCCAATTGGGCCAACATGTCCTTCATCAGAGGGAGGGGGTAAACATTTTGGACACATACACCATTAAGATTTTTAAAATTAACACAGAGACGAAAGGAGCCATCTTTTTTTTCTCTGAATAACACTGGAGGGGCCACTCGTGGCCTAGCAGGTTCAATAAACCCCCTTTGTAAATTTTTGTCAATAAACTTCCATAATTCTTCCATTTTGCAGGGGGTCATTGAGTAAATTTGGGGTTTTGGAAGTTTTATCCCTGAGAGAATATCAATGCTGCAATCTGTTGTGTGGTGAGAAGGCAATTTATCAGAAGATTTTTCACTGAAAACATCCCTTAGGTCCCAATATTCTTTTGGGATTTTCTCCTCCCCCTCAATTTTTTCCTGTACTGCAGCTGCTACGTTAGATTTAGTGTTAGCAATACTGGGAACCCTTCCTTCTCCCTCAGGGGTTGTAGCTGTTCGGATGCGCAACCACCCTTTCTTCCAATTGATGTGTGGGTTCCATTTACGTAACCAGGGTAAACCCAGTATGAGAGGCCGGTCCATTCCTGGTGCGACAATGAAACTTATTGTCTCCTGGTGATTTTGCATCCACATGTCTATTGGCTCAGTCACAAAATGAGCAGGGCTCCCCCCAGTTATCAACCCATCCAACTGGCAAAAAGCAATGGGGACTTTCTAAGTTCTCAGTTTCATGCCCAGTTTTTCCACCATTTCAGGGCTAACGATGCAATATGTGCAACCCGAATCTAAAAGGGCCAGCATTTTTGCTTGGGCTCCAGTAGAGGGCACTTTAAGTTTTACTGGGATGGTCATGGGGCCCAATTGGGAACTTACCAGATGTCCGTCGTCAGATTCAGTTTCACTTTCCTCTGATGAGGAGGATGGTTCCTCTTCTCCTGGAGTGGGAGGGAATTGTGCAGCAGGCTCCACCCCTTTCGTGGCTGTATCCCTTCTTTTCCCAGGCTGTTTATCTGGCTTTCTCTTCCCCCTGGCAGGGGGGTTTGGTCCCATCTTGGTGCAGCTGTTTATCTGGCTTTCTCTTCCCCCTGGCAGGGGGGTTTGGCCCCATCTTGGTGCGGCAGTTTGCTGCTCGGTGCCCCTCCTTCCAACAACGGAAACAGGTGATTGCTTGCAGACCAACTTTTTCCTCCTTTTGGAGCTCCTTGGCGGGTGGGGGTGGGAGGGGTAGCCTTCTCTTTCTCACTGTCCTCACGGTACTGGTCTCTGGCTAAATCAATTTCCACGTCCACTGCCAATTCATACCAGCATTGCAAGCTGCTGGGGGGAGGTGTTTACACAGTTCTGGTATATATCTTTGTTTAAACCGTCCATGAAGCTGTCCATCAGATCCTCTTCGGAAACACCCCTCCCCGCATATAAACAGAAAAATTAACGAAACTCTTGTATATATTCAGCAACTGGACTTTTTCCCTGGGTAAGGGTTTTCATTCTGGTTCTAGCTTCCGCTCTGTGAGCGGATCATCAAAGCGTTTCAACAGGGCGGCCATAAATCTATTATAGTCTCTCAGTAGTGGAGAGTCATTGTTATGCAGGGCAACCATCCAAGCTGCTGCCTTGTTATCCAGTGTCATGGTAACAACTCTTAACTTGGCTTCTTCTGTGGGGAGGTCCTCCCCGAACTGTTGCATAAAATTCCAGACCTGAACCAGAAAAAATCCCAAATTTCACACCAAGCGGAGGAACTTTAGCCATCCGGTATCTGCGGGGGGGCCTTCCCCCTCTTGGAAGGGCTCTCGTGGCTGCTGCTGTTGGGGCCAGGGCTTCTCCAACCTGATGAGCTCCACTGTCTGTCCCCAACACACACACCCTGAGCAGAACAGGGCCTCTGCAGTTCTCTCCTTTGTTTCTCGGAGATCAGCTTCTCTTTCAGGACCGCTCTCACGTAAGCGTTGCCTCTCCCAAGCCTCTTCAAAGATTTTCATAAGGACATCATAAGGGACATAATAAGGTTCTCCTAATCGGCATCTTGCCAAGCAGCTGCTGGTCATCGATATCACCTTGTGGTAACTCCAGCCGGAATTTCCTCAGGGTCATACTTTTGTCCCACTCCCAACGACCACCTGGGGTAGACGGATCACTCTTCCAAGTTTAGTCCAGCCATGCGCTCCGGTTCCAAAGGGAACGAGGATGCAGCCGCTCCCATGTCATCCTCCTGGTCGCTGCCTGGGTGGGACATTCTTTTGAAAGTTGGGTTTTTTTACACTCCCCTTGGAAGGTGTTAGTTCCGGAAACTGTGATCTTGCTTAATGTCAAGCCAGCCTCCCTCAGAAACCAAGAAAGAAACCACTTAACTCCATTTTGCAGAATTAAGAGTACTTTTACTGGTTATGAGATAGCAGCTAAGCAAAGCAAGATCTGAAGCAAAAGCACACGTAACCATAGATATCAATACGTGACCCAACTCCTTCCCCCTGGTAACCCCATCCCATAGTCCAGTGGTTCTCAAATTTGGCAGAGCTGGCTGGAGAATTCTGGGAGTTGAAGTCCACAAGTCTTAAAGTTGCCAAGTTTGGGAACCACTGCCATAGTCCAATCCGCACAAGTCAGGTGTCATGTGGGTTCCATCTTCAAAAAGCATCATCAGGTTGGTATGCCGGACAGTTGGCCTTGGCGGGCACATTCACTATCTCCAGCATGCGCAGTAGATGGTGAGAGCAAAACTCCTTTTTAACAATCACTCCTGTACTTAAGACTTCCCTTCCTAAATACCATGCCTCCCCTTCCCCATTTCAATGCAGCCGAAAGCAAGTAGCGAAGCAGAGGCTGACAGTTGCATTCCTCGCCAGGGACGCCCCTGGTTAAAAAAAAAAAAAAAAAAAACCCTTCTCACAACTTTAAGAAGTTTGATAGAACTCCCAAGAAATTTTTTATTTACCAGCAGTTTCCCTGGACACAATGGCGAGGAACGCGACGGAGCTGGAAAGGTAAAAGGCACACCACACTTCTCACCTGCCCCAGAAAATAATAAGCCCTCCCCTATAATAAACCGAAGACCATATTTCGTGGGGCCAAAAAAATAACACCCTGTCTTATTTTCGTGGAAACACGGTAGTAGTATAAACAAATAAACAGAGGAAGGACAAAATCACTTTTTTTCTGAGAAATGATATGAAGCAGTAGTTGTATGGCAGGGGTGTCAAACTCAAGACCTGAGGGCTGCATCCAGCCTGCGAAGTGGCCAGATTCTGCTCACAGGCCCATCCAGAGCCAGCCTGCGTCTCTTCGGCCCAGTCTATCCAAGTCCCTTTGGCCTGATCTACCTAATGTGAAGAGGAAACATCAGGCCAGCATCGCTTCGGCCTGGTCTACCCAAGAGGGAACATTGGGCCAGGATGGCTTCAGCCCAGTGGTGGGTTCCGGATCCCGGTGCAACCAGTACGATGCAACGGGGCCCGGCATCCACCACATAAACATACGCAGACACGCTCAGCACAGATGCGTACTTACCATCTGTGACACTCTGCGACAGCTCCACAACGCTCCAGCTGCTTGGTGGAACGTCACACAAGCACTGTATGCTCCGTGTGTGTGTGTGTGGAAGCCCCGAAGAGCTCAAATATAGGTAAGGATGGCATGCAGGCTGGTGGGCTCTCTGGCCCTCCAGACTGGAACAGTAGCCGGTGCTCCCAGCAGGCACCAGTACACCCGTATCGGGACATACTGGTCGTAGCCCACCACTGCTTCAGCCCATTCTACCCAGTGCAAAGAGGAAACGTGTCAGTAGTTTGGAGAGTGGCATCAAGATGGCCATGCCCACCCAGCTGGCTGGACATGCCAGATGGCCATGCCTGCCTGCCCCCCTCCCCCCGAGGTCAACCACAACTGTGATCAGCCCTATTGTATGGGATGTATTATGCCAGTCAAAAAGCAAAAATAAAAAACCCTCTTAAATCACTTACTGAAATATAAAAAATAATTTCTCAAGATAAAAATGAACAGGAACATCTGGGTAAAGAAAGAATATTTTATAGTTGCACAATTTTGCCAAATGTGACTTTCTTTTTAAAGAATATTGTGTTGCATTACTGAAACAAATATTGAAAGAGAACATACAACTATATTTATTTGTTCATAACTAACAAAAATCGGAAGCTATAAGTGAGAAAATTATTGTCTAGCTTTTTAATTAATAAATACATTAATATGTATAAGCATTAGATATACAGATATAGATATATAGATATACACACATACATACACAAATGCAACATTATATATATATATATATATATATATATATATATATATA